CATCACTGTGTCCATAAATCTGATGTAGCACCATCTCTCCAAAACGACCAATCAGGAGAAAGTGAGTTAATGAGCGAACATCCAGCTCCAACTCCCAACATGCACTTCATTTGTTTTAAAATGATAATAGGCTAATTATCTGGGTCAGCATTACCAACCTACTGTCCATTCCTACAACAATTTGTGGTCTCTACATTACCCAATTATCTTGTGGTGAGAGCAAGTGTGTGTTTGTGTTTGCTAGTAACAATTACCATATCACGTTATACTGTGTAGCCCATCATCAGTGATTAAAAATAAACAGGATATTTAGATGGTCTCTAAGCAGATGAAATAAAAACACAGCGCTGTTCAAGTAATGAAATAAGTCACGTTAAAGAAAAAAAGCCCTATACGAATAATGAGGGCATTCCTATAAAGCTATTTTCTCTCATCAGAGAAAAGTGGATGGAAAGAGCAGGAGTGAGGGGTGGTGTGGAGGAGAGTCGGGACACAGTTATGGCTGGGGCAACAGAAAAAGAGAAAGACCAGAAGCCGGGAGAGAGTTCCATTTCATCAGAAAAATGCCTGAGTCAGGAGAAGAGAGAACCATTAGGCCAAATGAGTCACAGGGAGAGGCTGAAAAAACAGATCTGGGCTGAGCTCGATTCGCAGTACCATCCCCGAACAAAGAGCCACAGACAGGCAGAATCAATGGCCCACAAAGAATATATAATATGTTTTTATCTCCAGTAGTGTGCCTCCTCATTAGTGAGAGACTGATGTCTTGACTGAGACTGAGGATACATGCATGAATGTCTCTGCAGATATACACAGAAAATTGAGTTAAGGGGAACACAGGTTCGCAGAGTTATTTTAATTATCTCTGAATCTGATATCAATTATTGTTTGGGGAACAAAAGGACGAAAAATCATGAAAACTAGTGATTTTAGTTTCCCATGGTGACAATTTAAGATTGCTTGGTCGTTTTGTGCATCAGATTTTCAATGTACAATTATTTAAAACAGAGAAAGAGTATCTTTGCAAGCTGGACCCAGAATATGTTACGATTTTTGCTTGAATAATTACCTAAAAATCACCAAAAATACAATCTTCATCAACCAATGGTATATTGACTTTAAGTATTGAGCTCTCATTTGTAAAGTGTACCCTTTAAATCTCAACAACACATGCTATTAGTACAAAAAAGAACATTGGAGCATGTTTGAAACAGAACCATCAAGCAGAATTGGACATGTTCACATGATCCCCAAAATGAGTATAAAAAGGAAGAGCATCTCAGAATGACACTGGTGCCCAAACATGGGGTCTATTCATACTGTGTTTTTAAAAAACAACAGTGATGACCTTTATCCTGCACACATGCACTCTGCTGCAGTGATTCACAAACTAGATACAATCCTTTATTTGTGTGGATAAATGATTCCTCTGAACATTGAGTCTTTATCTAAATCCTTAGCAGGAAGCAAGCAATTTACACAAGAAATCCCACACAGAGCTCTTTATCTATACAACTGTGACCCAAAATCATCCATAGTGAAAAGCTCCAGTGTTAGTTAGTGAGTGTGGGAAACAAACACACATCCATAAAATGAGCCCTTCCTCCCTGGTGCTGATCAGCTTCCTCTTGCTCAGTCCGACACGGTTCCCAATGTGAGTCAACCCAGCGCTATTGTGTGAACTTACTGGAAAAGAAGTGCCTCTTCTGGCAAACAAACAACAAATACCTTAATTTAACACTTATTCAATCTTCTTTCAGGCAGAAATGTGTTTAACTTCAGCATCATCCAGTGGTTCAGAGGAGAGCAGGTAATCTCCCCACGTCGGCCCTGTGTCACACACCTATCAGTGCCAGACTGACCGGCCAGCCTAAGCTCCTCTCTGAGCTTTGACTACTTCTGAGGGATGAAAAGAGCACAAGGCGAGGTAGAAACCCTGCGGCAAAGGCACAGGGACTTACCGAGTGTGCCTGTCTGTGTAATAACCAACGGGTACTCATGGCAGCCTTTAATGGACACCTGAGTGACACGGTTTATTAGTTCTGAAAAACATTATGCGGAGAAAAAGATAGCTAGGGGCGGATTTCAAGATAAATGTGATTTGAACATCCCGAGATGGGGCCGAGTGTACCCTCAACTAAGCGCCTACCAAGCCGAGAGCCCGTTTGATAGTCCGCTATCTGCAGAGCCCAGCTTGTCAAATACATACCTTTTACCTCATTACCTGCTCAGCACTGCCATTATTGAGGGAAATAGGGCCAACGCAAGATAAGCACAAAGAATTCTTGGGTTGAGCACAAACAGCCGGCCTGCTTCCTCCTGATAAAAGGGAAGCATCAGCGGAGAGAGGCCCCTCAGCTTCCTGCCCTCTCTTAGGTCATTCACTACTTCCTGGCCCAAATGGCACGCAATGGCCAAAGGAATGCATGAATGCGTGAATGTAACTGGATTATACAGCATTTCCTTTTTAATTTAAACTGCCCTTCAGCAGACTGCATCAAACCACAGGGTTTGGACAACACAGTGCTGACATAAATAATAATAACACTCCTTCATGGCTTTTAAACAGCTGATGAAAAATACATCTTTCAGAGAGTAAATCATTTCTGCCAGCTGAAAAGCTAATTTAATTTTCTCATGTCTCCTGACAACAAAGATGCTGAACCCATTACTAGCTGAGGCCCGCGCATCACACACATTAAATGAAGGGTCCTCTTGCAATCGAAAAAAAGCAATTTTCTCATTGAGCCAATAGATACTCCATTTAGTTTCGGCTCTATACGGACCGCTGCTGCTGTAGTGGGGCTGATACAGGAGAGAGCGAGCGTGGAGTGATGACCAAGCCTCGCTTTCCCCGCCTTGCTGCTCTGAACCCATCGATATAGACGTAATTCGCAGGTTGGGTGAGGGGGTAAAGACAGGGAAGATGAGAAAGGATGGGGACAGGAGGAAGAAGGAATTATAGATGAGAGGATACAGAGGGAGAGGTTGTGGTGAGGTAGGGTGAATCAAGGATGTGAAATCAGGGCGAGTGATCAAATGACCGGCCAAGGCAACAGCAGTGTTATTTTGGAGGAACATCAGCTGATTTGAAAGGAAAAGTGAAACCGTGAGAGGAGCAAAGAGACACAAATCGGAGGCACCCAACCATGTGGAACCGCAGATTGATTAATTTCAGGCCTTAAATGAGCGGTGCTCTGCCAGGCCAGGCGGCATTAAGTCAGTCACCCTCTCAGCAGGAGCTGCCACACACTGAAATTCACACATTTCTAATTCTGCAGAGGATTGAGGCCGAGGACCAGTAAATGCACCACGCACACACACATAGCATATCTTTCTCACACTTCATTTCCTTCCTATCCATTTCTTTTTTGCTGAAAATGTAATCGCTGGCACTGTGAATGTGTGACTAAGAGCAACACATTATCAGAGGCACTATTAAAATGAGGGCACTGAACACCAGTGGCAAGTCTCACACCAGGTGTTTTGTGTGTGTAGGCGGAATAAATACCAGTTTGGCTCAGAGATTTGAATTCACTCAAACATGCTCCCCCCTAATTGCTACTATCCGCATTGTTGCTGCCAACCGTTATTCCCTGTATAAATTACAATGTAGGTTTACATATCCTGTTGTTTGCATTTGTACTTATCCCACAGACATCACTTGTGTGTCTCGGCAACCAAACTATTTCCCAACAGTCTTGTGTATTAAGCTGAGGACAGAAAGGCTTCAGGCGGAGTTTAGTCATCCGTGTTGGCAGCTGCTCCAAAAGCATCAATATTACTGTTTCTTTCCCTTTTCTTTCTTGACAAGGCAAATGTTCACCCACAACAGAGTGAACAAACATGCCTCTGTTTCCAGTTTGTGTGCTCTCTCTACTAACTGATAACTCCCAAGTCATTTGGGGTCTGGGAAAAACCAAGAGGGTGGAAAATAAGAGAGAGAGAGAGATCTCAACATGATGCAGCAGACAGTAGAGTAGCCCGATTCATTAATCAGGGCAGGAGCTGAACAGTCAGTGTGTCCAAGCTGCTGGGGCGTGATATGATTCTTCTCTCCTGACACATACCAGCCTCAGGGAGATGGAGAGCTGGAGTGAGTGGCTGTGACTGTAACTCGAGGCAAGAAAATCCAGCGCACTCACCTGGACACTGGTGTGAGATAATGGGTCCCTAGGAGCCAATCTCCTCAGGCGAAATCTGATTATAACCTGGTTTTAAAACTGTTAGAGAAATGGTTGAGCAGAAACTTTTTAGCTGCTCAAACTTTTGAAATGAACCCTGAATTCCCTCCAAAGTCACATGAAACTGTAGCATGTTAACAAAGTATTGACTTTTCTTTCAGAGCTCTTGAATGTGTCATGCTCGCTTCAGTGGATATCAGACAGACACACAGAGAGATGAGGTGGTTTTGGATGATGTATCCCTCTGATTAATGCACTCTGACAGTGAACTCCTGCCCTACAGCAGAGGTAGCGCCGTCAGAGACATCCATCTGGTGACCCCATACATCTCTGCAGACAGCCTCCTCCTGGAGCCCCGTGGGAAGGCTGCCAGCCTGGAGACTGACACACATCACCCCGGATTCCCCCTGATGGCAGGTTTCTCATACAATAACCCACTATTAACCGTAGACTGCCTATTAACCGCATTTCACTGACTGATTCATGGTACATCCAATCACCTGAGGATATTTAGTTTTAGTGCAGGACTCTGATTTATTCTCAAAAGGAAAATAGCACTGCGACCTGATCTAAACTTAACTCAAGTCTTAGTATACAATTATATATTTCTCCTTTGTTCATTTAATTCCTGCAGCTCGCCTGATGGGAAACTTGAAGCAACAAAGTAAGCGGATTTCAAAAACACAACATCGCCCCTTGGACAATCTGCACTAAATAACGAGCCCGTTCAACACAGCACTCAGGGGATTCAAATTGTGATCACTTATCGTTCATTTCAACATACATTTAAGTTTGTAGCAGCGACAAGTTTCTTACCTCAAAACGCAGCTCAGTGTCGGAACCTCTCTCTGTGACAAGACCCTGGGAAAATGTTTCTAAAAAGCCGATGTGAGAAGCCTGGGACTGCTGGAGGAAAGTAGTCAAATAAAAGAACAAATGTCGATGAGCCACGGAGAGGAATTATGCCCAGCAGCGTCCAACTAATAAAATCCACCGCTCCTAGATCTGCGATCCCAGTTTGGCCAGGCTCGCAATGTTGAGGGGAGATTGGTATGCAAACAGTTTTGTGAAGTGGCTGAAAGAGGAGCGCTTCATCGTGCAGCCTGCTCTGCTGCGGGGGGCGGGGCCTCTCTCCGGAGGACACGCCTCCAGTTTACCTTCTCTATTGTCACTCCGGTGTGATAAACAAACTTGAGTGCTGCTGAAAATAACTAATTATCTCTATTAACGGCAGTCAATCACAAGAAAAAGGAAGTGGAGGCGTATTCTTGTGAATTTAAGTCTAAAGGGTTCCCAACAATAATTAATGTATCTGTTTTATTCAGTATCAGAGCCATATTAAATGTGGTTTTCAGATTGTAGAAGATGAAATATGTCATTTACTGTCTTTCAATGGTATCATATGTGATGAGATCATATGTTGAGATTCTGTGATACACTATTAAGTCTTCTTAATAATACATTGATAGTAACAAGCACGTACTAACTGCAATTTATCAGACAACCTGATGTGTAATATTATGAAGGAGTACTTTTTTAATATTGCAATCTTGTTTTTACATCACAATTTAAATTAGTGCACTCAGATCAATATGTGTATGGACTCCAACTCACAGTCGCAAGCTTCTTCCAGCTTTTAACCCCAAAATACAACAGGAACAGCTCAGAACAGGCTTCTCTGTGCATTATAATGGTGGATAACATCATGTAAAAGTCCCAAATGTTGGTTAAAATAAATAAATGAATGTGTGGAGTAGTAGTGTAGTCCAACAGTGTGCAGGATTTTCTTCAGTCATGTAACAATCAATCGGCCATAGACCTTGACATGAGCTGCTTTAATGTGTAACTTGACCTTTTCTATGTGTTTGTTTATTTACTACTTGTCGGCTTTTTATGTTGTTGTTTCTTTTGTTTGGTTAGCTGAAGACCAATTTCCTACCTGATTGACAATGAAGATATAATAATCCCCTACAAATCTGGCTTTAACTCAAATTCTCACTTTAGTTGCAGAGCACATACTATTGTAAGTTGAATTCTGACTTTAATCTTTTCCTTTGAATACAGACTAAGGTAGAAACTCACAGAACTCAATTTCATCTGTGTCGTATCTTTTTCTACAGTTTGTTTTTACCATGAATGGGAAAGTGCCTTTTCTTTGGAAGTGTGGCACATAATCATCACAAATGTCATTGTGTTTATCTTTGTGTGAACACATGCACACAGTCATGTTGGAAGACAACATCTTATTTATACAGATGAGACAATATATTATATGTATTCATCAGTTGTTTGGAAACTAATGAAAAAGTACAACAAATGACTGCATCTAGAGAGTACCCTAAGGCACAGAGTAATTGTATCTTTGTGAGAGTAATGATTATTGCTTCCTTGAGGAATTGGCTCATCACTGTTTTTTATTCCAGCAACAGATAAGTGACAACTCTCAGAGAGCCAGCTGATAGTTATTGTTTGTCCCTTGTTAATTATTCATGCTGTGTGTCCCTCTCACAGCCAGAAAACAAGAGGAGTGCTTTTGTTTCGGCTTCGGAGGGGGTGCTGAAGTGTTTTCTACCCCTCTGTGCTCCTCGTGTCACAAAATCTACTACAGATGGAGGGCAAGATAAGCGCTCCAGAGACTGATCTTTTTGCCTTCTCCTCTAAGGTCGTGACACTGACATTCCCAGTGGCATACGTGATACTTCCAACCCCCAGTCCTCTGATCCCTTTCTTATTGGCCCTAAGGAAGCCTGAACTTTTAGGAGCATTTCTGAAGTCAAGAATACACGACAACGAGCAGCTTAAAGTGACGTTTGAAACAAGCCAGAGATCAGCGTGCTGGATTCAAAGACTCGTCAGGAGCTTGCTTCAGACGGAGAGACTCCGCCATGTGTAAGAAAAGTATCACAGGAATGGCTTGGCTGCCGAGGGAACAGCTGTGAGGTATTTTCTTTTTGGCTCCTTGGGTATTTTCAGAGGGCTCAGAGTAAAGAAAGGCTGAGGGGAATCACTGACTGAAACGCCTCCTCCCCCCGCCTTGGAGCGCTCACATGGATCACTGGTGTTGGGGAGAGGACCTCTCTTTAGGCCCTGACATAGTTCAGATAATATTTGTTTTCTTAGCTAATCAGTGATTGATCAACAAATGCAGTGATTTTTTATCAACTATGCGATGTGCAACACAAGTCAATACGCAGCTCAGAAATCAGTTTACAGACTCATGGTCTTGACCTTTTAGTGATGATGGGAGCCACTTTGCAGTAATTCAAGGAAATTCAAAAAGATTAAAATGACATGAGAAAAGCCTTTAAATGAGGTGATGAAAGGTTTTACTGTGGCAGGACACAAGTAGGGCAAACTACTTCCAATGACCTGTGGATGTTGAAGCATAGGGACATTTGGATGTGTTTTTTACATGAAAACCAATTGAAAGGGTGACCACTTAGATAAGGCCTTGAAACCTAATGTTGAATGTCATTCCCACTGTCTCTCTTTCTTCAGCTGTTTTCCAATTAAAGGCAAAAAGTTCCCAAAAAATACATTTGACACGCAGCTTTTTGGCATGATATGGTATAGCTCACTTTGTCCTTCTCAATCCATGCTGCCGGCGATAAAAGATACTCTTATGTCTATGTTAATCACACAGTAACACAGACACTGATAGGCAGTCTATGCTAGCTTACATGCCCTTCTGCCATGCACATTCTTATCGCACACATACCCATTAAATTCAATTTACACAGCCTGCGCTTCAATTTCACACACATAGCATCATACCACATGCTATCTCATTAAACAGGCTGTGGACATGCTTCACAAGCTCCCACAAAGTAGGCCTTGCTGTGCACACACACACACACACACACACACACACACACACACACACACACACACACACACACACACACACACACACACACACACAGGATATAGTCTTATGGAATTTCCCCGGCAACAGCATAGGAGTAATTTAATATCGCATTTTTTGGTAATGTGATGCTGGATTGTTTTTTCTCAAATGTGTTTTTTTTTTAACTATGTAAATATCGAGTTCCTGTAAACAGGAAATGTAAATATACCATTCTTTGGATGTTGCACGGAGATAAAAATATATTTTCCCCATGTGGAAATGTGGTTTATGTTGTGGAGGCTAAAAATGTCCCACAAGCTCTCTGCCGCCTCTTTTCTATTGACACTGACTTGCATTGTCTAAAAACAACTGTATATATACTTATGGATATAGATCTATAGCTTAGCATGAAGTCCATTGGCCAGACACAGTGCTAACTTATGAGTCCACTAGTTGGCTGAAAATCTGTCAATGACAACCCAACCTCACAAAGACTTAAACTGCAATATTTCCACCACGAACTCAAACCTGTCTTTATTTAGAAATAAAAAATTATTGATGGCATTTGAGAAAAACAAACTCATTGATTGAAAATAAACTTTGCGGATCAAGCTTAATTAAGCTCAATTAAAAATTAGATGAATAGGCTTGAGCAGAAATTACAGAAGAAGGATCAGTCACAAAACACTGATGATTGCTTTTTATGATTCATTTATTTCAGAATCTGTATTCAATTTACTTGAACTAACAAACAAAGCCATGGAGGTTTCTGTCTCCAACTGTGTGACATTATTCTGATAACTGCAACATCCCTGAGACACTCGCAGACGTAAATACAGAAAGACGTCAAACACACTGTCGCAGCCTCAATCTGTCAGGAGGGGGGCATCAGCCAGCACCCAGGGGAACATGCCATCATGTCTCAGGGCTTCCTGGCCCCCTCCACTCCGGGACCATGATCAAACTGTGAGACATGGTGTAGACCGGCAAGACTTATCTCGTGGAGGCCCTTTAGGGGAACCACACACACACACACACACACACACACACACACACACACACACACACACACACACACACACACACACACACACACATTTGGTTACACTGCTGCTGAATAGGCTTTGCTGTCTTGAGTCATAAGTCTGTTTTCCAGAATTTAACTTCAACACGTATTCATCCTGAGGCTAACCTTTAGAAAATGATCTCTCCTTAACATAGATAATCAAGCAGAAACCATCCTTGTGAGGCAAGTCGCAAACATATTTCCCCCTCAAGCCTTTGTCTGAGACACCATTCAAAATCAGCGAGCTTTCACATGAAATCATCTGTAAATTCATGCATCTCCATCTGGCTTAGTGGGCTTGTCAGCGCCTGTCACACGGCCAGGCTGACGGAGAAGGGGTAGAGTAAGGCGACAATCAAAATGACACACTTAAACTGGAAGGTACTTAATCATTTTTTTTGTATTTAAAAACATCTTAACAACTCATGATGTGTGTTACCTGGCTGTAACCTAGCAACAAGCCTCTAACACTGTTTAGAGGAATAATCGTAGAAATCCGTGGGAGGCTTAAAGAAGACAATTAGAGTATTATTAATACGCTAAATCTGAAATTAGAAAGCTTTTAGGAGAATATTTAACACTTTCTGTCTCGAACACGTCTTTCAGACTGCCTTTTCTATTTCTGAGTGCATTCCCCTGCTTGGAAAACACCTGTAGGCACTTGTGTGAGCTTTTCCTCCTCCTAAATAATTACGGTTGTCTACCTGCTGTAGCTCAGGCAGTGACAGGAGCCCGAGGATACAAGAGAGAGCGAGGGAGGGAGAGTGGGAGGGAAAGTAGAGGGTAGAGCGAAGAGATGTATGTCAGTCTGATATTTTATACACCAGGAAAACACACAACAAAACATCTGCTGGGTCTGAGCTTAACCAAGCAGCGCAAACACAGGAGGCACTGGGCTGTAGAGCCAGAGAGGAAATGGAGAGTGTAGATGGAAATAAGGAATGGTTTGACCATTTCGCCTTGTTCCCTCTTTATGTACAGTAAGTGTGCTGACTGATTCTCCCCCCACATCACTCCCACCCCCCCCTGAGTGCAGCCATTACTTTGCTGTCTTGCAGTGACAAGTGAAGCGTGGCTGAGCTCCCTTCATATACTGTACCTCCAGTGTTCCCAGGAGCATCTACTGGCTGTTGAATGGAGGAAAGTAGGCCAGGGGAGCCACCGCT